TTGAAACGTAGTCCAATAACCCGCCTCCCTGCTCGGCCACATGCTTATAAACTATGGCTTGTTGGTTAATTGGTCATTGGAAACATAGCCTAACCAATAAAAATAGCTGCTACAAAGTACTAATTTTACCCCTCATGCAGAGCAATACAAATGAACCATAAGCGAGAAAAAATGACCTAAGGCGAATACCAATCGTCTTCTTTAGAAACTCACAGAGAGGAGCTCTGTTCATTTAATAACCCCCCAAATTAAAGGAAAATGTATGATTCAATCATCTGGCCACAGAGTTAGATCATGCTCTATGACATCATTCTGAGCGGCTTAGTGCTGTGGACCTTATCCAGCTATAGCGGAAGTCAAATCAGTAAGTTAAACATCCGGGGAATATCCCTGGATTGTGTAGTTCTGCACTGACCTTAGCTGGTAGATGCACTCTTTTCATAGTGTTTGATATTTTGACAGAAGAGCCTATTATTTAGATTTTTATCATTTTTGAGGCAATTACCTCAACACTGTGCTCAACACAATCTCATATTGAGCCTAATAAATAGATAAAAATAGCGAAACGATTGAAGAACTTTAGGAGTATGTCAATAATATTATATTATATAATAATTTTCCCACAATACTTTAAGAAAAAAGAGAAGCAGGTGAAAAACTACTTTTACAGTGCTTAACTTCATGTCAAAATCAACAAAAATGTCTTTCCCTTTCCCTTAATTTAAAGGTTTGTTTTGCATGGAGTTGCTTTTACGGTTCACAATAACAGCAGACTCAGGAATTTTATGAGCCATGGCAAGTAAAAAGGTTAACCAAACGAGCCATTTCTAAGTAGAGGCTGTGTTTTTCTTTGCCACAAGGCATTGCAGCGCGCTTCCATCATTGGGTTTGGCCAGGAATACCGAACAACAGTTGGTTTTCAGCAGTTGTTGTTGACTCGCAGAGCTATGCTGCAGTTGCGTGACTCCTGTTCTCCATGTCAAAGCATGACAACAGACAGACGACACATGTGTCGGCTGTAAAATGTGTAAAACACACCACTAAGCAAATGTGTCAAAGAGTGGCTCAGCAGGGTCGGATGGGTGATGCAATCTGTGCAAAATGCTGACAGCTGGGATGGCAGGCCAGAGTTTTTAGCCAATAGGGGGTCATACCGTACCAAGAGATTATTTCACTGGGCTGGGCTGGACTCTGTTCTTGTATGATTTTTTGCAACTAGCATTTATATATAGGTAAGGAAAGAGAAACATGTTTATAGCAACCAAATAGGGGGCAGTTGTATTATTTTCTGGAGTAAACACGCCAGCTCTACTTCTTTTATCTTTGTTGAGGCATGGCGATTTCCAATATTACAGACTCTGGCCAGGCATGAGATCTTATAGTAGAAGGTGTGCGTGCATCAGTGTAATATTAGTGTATTATATCCCATATCATTATACAACATGACGTTTGCATAATACTAGATCAAAAGGAAAACAATTACCCCAAATAGCATCATGTGTCCCAGACATGTGATCATTTACATAAACTCCTCCAAGATAGACATTTCCAGAAATTCCTGGGTCCACTTCCAGACTATAACATCATCTAACTGCAATTGTGTAATAGTAAGGACTGTTAAGTAGACAGTTTTATGGATCTTAAGTTCAGAGCAAAGTTTTTTGTCTGAATGTAACGGGTTTGAGAAAAGGAACGAGTTGAGAAAAGTGGATTTATAATGAACTGAGATCATTGCATCTATGGTGATCCTACAAAACAAGAAACTACAAAGATGAACTTTGAGTGATAATAATTGTAAAATCTACTATAAGTATGTTGTACTGTAACCTGTTTTTCAGTGTCCGCCTGTTTGTCTGTAATCACCTATAATAGCTCCAAGGGGCAGCCCTGGGCAGCTGTTGCTTGGTCAGCCCCAGGCACAATCTCACCATTGTGCATGACGTGCAGCTGGCATGGTGTTGGAATGCCTCGCCACAATGAATCAATCAAAGCCCCTCCTAAGTGGACCAGACCTGGGCCGTGATACGGGCAGATCCATGGCAGCTGTAACATGGCTCCTCAGTGCCATAATCCTTTTACAAGGCTCTACTTTCACCTCAGTCTGAGCATTTGGAACCAGCTTGATGGCACTTAACCCAGCCCTTTGTAATTCAAAGCTTTTAAAAATTAAATGGTAAAATCAAATTGCATGATGTGTCACATTTACAATCTAGAAGTGTGAAATGGGCTGTTTAAGTGGCTCCAGTAAAATTCACTATATGGGATATGTTTTACAGATTAGAAAATAGTTTCACCAGAGTTGATCACATTTGACCCTTTTCTTCAACTTAATCAATCTTAGTGTGTTTACGTATTCACAATATATACAAAAGCAAATTCCTTGTATGTGTAAACCTACTTGGCAATAAACTTGATTCTGATTCTGATTCATTTATGCTTGGCCCCATCACCTAGAGCACAGATAGGATTAGGTCAGTACATATTTTGTTCTTTTACTCAGACAAGCTTTCCAAGAGAACATTCTTTATTATTGACAGCATCGAGCTGGAATCGCTTACAAGTTGGAGAACTTTTATCAAACATAAATCATATCTAAGAAAATCCAGATTAAATACACCGGCCTTGCACCGTATCAGCAAGGCAGTGTTTAAGCCTATGTCAGTATGCTTACAATGCTGATTGACACAATAACACTGAGATCTTTAGGGATTCTGCTTGGGTAACCGTGTCTTATTGAGTGGCAGGTATACAAGCAGCTAACACAGAGCATCTTGTGCAACCTCGACCAGACAATCTTAATCATCTAGCTATGTTACATGATAAAATAACGATATGACAAAAATAATACGATAATGCTAGATAATGTAATTTTCATAGGATCATATTTTTGAAAACATTTGGCCAGGAGTTTAAGTGTTTGAGTTTCTGACAGCCTCATGAGCAATACAGAACATGTGTGACAGCGCCATCTACTGCTGCAATTGTGTTATTGTGTGACAGAAATAGGCTAAATACAACCTTAACAATGGTGGTGGTGGTGATTTCATCAGCATGCTCCATCATCTTTCTTTACTGTTTAAACTGCTCAAACAGTGGTTCCCAACCTTTCACAAGTGCCTTAAAGTGAATATGAGATAAGAAGTCAAACAAAAACATATATAATCTTATTTCCTTTCCGTCAGTCATTAGCCTACACTTCAGGGGCCGTATTCACAAAGGATCTTAGGGCTAAAAGTAGCTCCTAACTGGCGAATTTAGGAGAAACTCCTAAGCATAATGGGCGTGTCAGTCTTAAATTTAGGACTCCTAATTTTATTCACTAAGAGCAATTCACAAAGTATTTTAGGCCTAAAAGTAGCACCTAAGTCTGGGAGAGCTTAAAAGTCCTCGAGAGGACTCTTAACTCGGTAAGACCTATTCACAAAGAATCTGAAAATGGCTGCGAGACGAAATGTTTTGGAGACAATGGAAGACTGTGAATTGATCAAGAGATATAGGCTAAATCGTGAGGGTCAAACTTGTTGTGGAATTAGTGCGGGATGCAATAACATCCCCGACTAACAGGAATAACCCGATTAGTCCGGAAATAAAATGTTTGGCAACACTACAATATTTAGCAACAGGGAAAATGCAACTTTGCAATGCCGACGATTTAGGAATATCGCAACCATCAGTCAGCTGTGCCATAAACCAAACCATCAACGCGCTCTCTAGACCACATATCATCCAACAGTTTATCCGGTTTCCTTTGGACAATCAATAACTACACAGGATCAAAGCCAACTTCATGGCAATGCAGGTATGCCCGGTGTGGTCGGTGCTATTGACATAAAAATAATTGCGCCATCAAAAGATGAGGACGTGTTCGTCAATAGAAAGAAAGTACATTCCATCAACACGCAGATTGTTTTCATTCATCATGATAGGGGGACTTGAACGGCGGTATGGGCTGTTATTGAAAGTGTTTAAGTGCTGGAAATATGCTCATTGGATAATAGTTTGCATAGTGCTTTTAATTGCCTCCTTGATTTAATGCAATTTACGTATTTTTATTGTTTGCTCTCTCTCTTTAACGTGCATACAACGTCATTATCGTGGTCTGCACAAACTTGTCATCATGCGTGTATTCTGCTAACTGCACTGTCCATAACTATTTGATAGGAATACATTTCTAGCCTAAGCTATTTCCTTGTTTTTCGGTGATTTAGTGGGCTCGTTTGTGGGATGTTGCAGATGAGTTTCACCGAGACCGCCTGCTCTGAACAACCAATCACCGTACTGACCGCTTCTAAACTCATGCACGAGAATCGACGTAATCCATAGCAACGGCGCGTCACGCTTAGTTCACTCTTAGTGATTTATCCTTAGTATGAGTAGGTCTCAGCGGCTTTGTGAATAACTTTTAAGAAAAAATTCCTACGTAAAATGTTTTAGCGCGAGTTAGGAGCACTCCTAGCGGTAAGATAAAATGCTTTGTGAATACGGCCCCAGGTTTATACTGTACGTTTATCCGAGAACGCTAGGGAGGTCTTGACCGCTAGGTTGGGAACCATTGTGTTAAACTCCATATTTGTAACCTACTGAAAGTAGGTAATAGGCCCCTAGGACCCCAAACATTACAGGTTCACATTGCATCCAGTGGTTCTTCGTCAGGCCAATTTATCAGCAGACAAGTATCTGTAGGCTTTTGGAATAGCAGGAATATACAGGTGTAACGGTGTAACATCGCCGTATTCAAGGTTCCCAGTAAGCCATGACAGTTTGAAAGTGAACCAACATGTTTAATAACCAGGGTCTTAAAATCAAAGGCATGATTATTTCACAAATATTTAAAATGTATGTAGGCCTACCTATTCATTTATTTTGAAAAATATGAAAGCCATGTTGTTTTGTCAAATTGTAAATTGAAGAAGAAGAAGAAGAAGAAGAAGAAGAAGAAGAAGAAGAAGAAGAAGAAGAAGAAACAATAACAATAACATCTGCCTCCGACAGAGGGTGATATCGGACGCCTCCCCTCACGAGGGAGTCTGTAGGGGCTCCCAGTGTGGACAGCACAGCTTGTTTAACCACAACTGACTCGACCTGAAGGTAGCTAACTATATTCTTACATTCATACTGCTGTCTGATAGCTAACCACTTTGCAATTTAAAAGGTTTCAAATAAACGCCTCTGTGTTAACTCCTGCCGGCTGCTTTTAATAATTTCAAGTTAGCTAGCTAGAAGCTAAATTAGGTAGCTCCTCCACGTTAGCTTTAGCCTAGCTATCCACATATTTCCCCCTGTATGGTTGGGTATTAAGGAGCTGGATACAGTAACACTATTTTAGTTTCATGGTTGTTAAAGTTGCTGTTATGAAACGACCCTGTCGGTCAGTCGCTGTCGCTCACAGGTGTGTGTCTATTCCTGTCTTAAAGCTAGCTAACGTCAGCTAGCTAGTGTATGAGGCTTGGCTGGACCCTAGTAACCATGTTAATGCTCAATGTCACCGGCTCAGGATTAGCTTTTATCCATAAACTATCTGTGAGCTCACAATATGCATTGAATAACGACACCTTATAACTAGTTAAGCACCAATCCTACCGTATATTAGCCTTTTCTTATTCTCAACAAAGCCACTGTAGTCAAATGATGCCATGGATAGTCATCTGATAACAACAGTATATGTTTTACTGTATAAGGAGGGGGTATAAACAGCTTGCCAATAGGTGTGCCCCTCTTCTCAAAATCTACACTACAAGGATTCAGAGCTAAAGTGAAAATATTGGATAAAGCCGGTTTACAGCAACAAAGATGAGGCAATGTTGCCTTTTGTAGTGTTCTGTCATTTCAGAAGTCACGGTAGCCTACTCCATGTGGGGCTTTTACTGCATCCTCCAAAACAAATGGTCCAAAAAGTGGGGGTAAACCCATTAATCTAATGAAGTCCCAACCCATATTTTCCTGTTGCCTGCATGTGGCCTGTGCTGCTCCTCGTGATTATGTTCAATGGTCTTCTCCTGGGAGTTTATTTTGAGTGCAAAAAGGTTAGAGGTCAGTGAGTAAGTCATTGAGTCATTGAGACAGAATTAGCAGGGGTACATAGGGTTTAGCAACACTTTCACTTGCTTTCTTCAAGACATATGAGTATTGAGTGACAGTTTACCTGAACATTTAGACCTTTTTGCAGCAAATTAGTTTTGATATGCAGTTGTCAATTGTGTGTGGAATTAATAAGAAGTTGGCATTGAACCACATACCTTTTTTAGATTTGCTTTTTTTCAGTGTTCTCCTTAGTTTTCTATGAATATTTGTGATGATAGCCAATTGACAGTTTAATCCTTGCTCTTTTACTTTAATAGATAAGTACCACACTGACTTTATTACACTTAAATAAATAACCTTGTAAACTATATACTAATGTTAAAGTAAGATCACTGACCCTGATACTTTCTAATGGTGTTATATATTTATTGGTATAGCCCATAAGGGGTGCATATTTTCATGTACATGATTCTATTTTTGAACGTTTGTAGTGCAGTGGGAGGTTACAGGGATGAGAGTTACCAGAAAGAAAGAGGAGTGGTACGTGTAGATCTAATCACTTCTTAAAATACCCTGCCAGATAAAACGGGGGCTTGTGAGCCTGTCAGCAACAGCAGAGCAGAGCTGAACAACTTTAACCCCAAGAAGACAAACAGTTGCCCTTTTTCTTGCCCTCAATTGCCCCTCCTGGTTTTCCCCACTGTTCTCCGCAGAGTGCAACTCCTTGTTTTTCTGGTTGCAGGTTTCAATGTTGTTGGCTTGATGGGATCCAGGCGGGGGACAAAGTGATGGTCTAAGGACTGGCAGTCACACAGGTGCTTGCGCGTGGGATGTTTCGCTGGTCGGTGCACCTGGAAGGAGGGCCGCGGAGAGTCAACCATGCTGCTGTGGCGGTGGGGCACAAAGTGTTCTCCTTTGGAGGCTACTGCTCCGGGGAGGACTACGAGACTCTGCGTCAGATTGACGTGCATGTCTTCAACACAGGTAGGTGGTGAATATACATTTTAAAGGTCACCTATTATGCAAAATCCACTTTTTCATGTCTTTTATACAAAAACATGTGTCCCCTCTGTGTAAAGAGATTCTGAACCTTTCAGGAAAACATTTTTGCTGACTTTTTGTCCTGATCCATTTATATAGAAACCTGTCTGAAAATGAGCTGATCAGATTTTGGCCACTTTATGATGTCATAATGATGTTTTGGCTTGTGTAACCATTAGCCAATAATCAACCAAGGTAACCTAGAGCACCATTTTAGTTTTTTTTAACCAAATATCTCACAGTGGGGCGTTGGGAGTGGCTCCATATTTTCATCTAAAGTACCAGACAGAGAATCAGCACTTTTGAAACAGGGCTGAAACAGAGGGGATTATGGGATGCTACAATGCACGATCTGTTGGGTATTTTGAGCCAAACACTTCAGAGACACTTTTGTATATATCCGAGACCTATAATATATTGATGAAAAATAGTATAATAGGAAAACTTTAAGAGATCAGGTTGGTTGTAGATTTTGTGGAAAAGCTTAGAATTGAGGTAAGTACAAGTATTGTCTTGTTTTCTCTTGTTCTTACTGACAGAAAAATAACTATTTTGAGAACGCAGTAATAGCCATTTGCAGTTTTATGTCCCAAAAAACAACAGTTAATACAAAATGGATAAATTCTGCAGTTCTCAGGAGAACTGTGACATGTTAATGAAAAGAGTTGGAATATGACATCAGAACCATACTTGAACTCCAGTATACATATTTATGTAAATATCTGCTGTTTCTGTTTGTATGCTACATTAGGCAGGCGAGAAGTCGTTCTCCTCAAATGCCCTGTATTCTCTGTAGTGATAAATGAAATAGGAAAATAATACTTTTTCCAACTATGATGCAAAGATTAGAGTGTTAGAGGGTTTGTTGAACCTCACCACTTTAACGTTAACTTATCACAGCTGGCAACTCTAACCGAAGCATTCCATTGCGGTGTGTGGTGTTTTCTCCGTTAGTTGTTTTTCAGTTGCTTTCTCACAAACAGGTGTTTATTTAAATGGGCTCTTGCTTTTATAAAACAGCTCCATTTTTTTCCTTGTAACCCATTTTATATATTTGTTTTCCTTTGTGTGGTCAGCCACCTGCTTTAGGTTTGTGCATCTTCCTAAAGAAACTTGAGCCTACCTGCCACTGCTGTACCATAAAAGATCTGTGGCACCAAACTTTTGATAAAGATGCCTTTTTCCTGATTGAAATGGAAAGAAGAGAACCTTTTAATTTTGTGTTGTCTATTATGTTGTCACCTGCGCTGTGCTCCTTCCCTTCGATGTATATTTTACATCGGAGCCTTCTGTCTTCCATAGTCCTTTTGATTTATATTTTTACCTTTTTCTTTAACTCAAAAAATAATAACTGGCAAGTAAGATGTTTGGATTAAATTGCGATATTTTACACTATCTTTCAGTATGTCTAACTTTACAAAACGTTGAAAGAGCACACGCTTTTAAGAGCTTAGTGTAATGCCACTAGTGACGTTTGTTTTAGTTTCTATTGCATAAGTATCTCCCAATTGTTCTACTAACTGTTATTGCTTCTTATATCTTTTTATTCCTTTTCACACGTCCTGTAGGTTACCGTTGTATTGCGGTATTTTTATTTTAGTTACTTTTGCTTCGGCATTATAGCTTGTCTGGAGTTAAAATTGGCATATATTATCATTTATTTAGATGAAATGTCTCTGCATTTAAGGTTGTTCTTTCCGAAGCACCAACATAAAATGAGCATGTTACTTATCAATATTTAACAAATACAGTTTTCTTTGTATTTCAGTGTCTTTGCGCTGGATGAAGCTGCCTCCAGTGAGGACGTTGGGACATGAACGTGCCCGTGAAGTGCCATATATGCGTTATGGCCACACAGCTGTGTTGCTGGATGATACTATCTACCTCTGGGGGGGCCGTAACGACACAGAGGGGGCCTGCAATGTGCTTTATGCCTTTGATGTCAGTAAGTAAACCTGTATATAACTCACAGAGTAAGTGTTACCTTGAGATACACCTGTTGGATGGTTACAGCCATGATGGCAAGAGAGAAAACAGTTTTGACATCTGGGAGCTGTAACACCTACTATTGAACATCGAAAAGTGTTATGCCAGTACTGTAAAATGAGAGGTCCCTCAACAGAGTGCTTAGAGTTAATCTAAAGTGCTTCCCCCTTTATAGACAGCCACAGATGGTTCACACCCAAGGTTTCAGGGACTGTTCCAGGGGCGAGGGATGGCCACTCGTCCTGTGTCCTGAAGAAGGCTATGTATATATTTGGAGGATATGAACAGCTGGTGAGTCTTCATCACTCTAGTCTACACTGCTGTACTTTCTGTCTAAATGGTCTAACATTATTTAATTAATCTCCACTGCATTTGTTTTTTAAGGCTGACTGCTTCTCCAATGACATCCACAAGCTGGACACCACCGAAATGGTGTGGTCGTTAATTAATGCCAGGGTGAGTAAACCTCATTTAAAACAAATCTTCCTGTACAGAGAATGTCTTGCATTGACTGTTCGATTCCAAATAAGGGTGGACGAAAAGCACATACTCAAAGAAACATAAAGCTAGACTGGCAACACGCTCAGTTACATTCAAAGCACTGCTGGAAATCAGCAACCCATTGGGTGTTACTGGTGTTGGCAGTTCTGCTACACAAGCACTCAGGGGTCAGATTGACCGGGTACAAAGGCTCTGCAGTGTAATGCTGCTCTCTGGTAGATGGCCAAGTGTAAAAAGCCTCAAAGAGGATTATACACAGTCCCCTTTTGGGAAATGCCATTTGTCATTTGTGTAGTCAGTCAACCTGCACATGTGTTGAACTCTTCTGAAGTACATATTGGAGATAGACACTAGTGCCTAGGGCCACTTTGGACTGGTGGAAGTAGGACTTTCTCCACCGGTCCCTCACTTTCAAATGGTTTTATGATAAAGGAGATTACACTTTGGTGCTTACAGATTGATTTGAGCATGTGACTGAGTCCATTTCTCCTGCCTGTTCTCAGCTTGGATTCCTTTTTGGATGACAAAACGTGCTGTGATTTTATCATGACTTTTTTTCTGTCAAATTGACTGTTTCTACAAGATTTCATTTTCCCCCTGCTGTGCTATTTATAAAACAAGTTTAGGAGCCTTCTTGCTTGCATAGCATTTGTGAAAGACAATGGCAACACATTCTGAAAAGGAAGGCATGTGAAAAGCTTAACCGTGGCTATAGGCCAGCTGAATGCATAGGGAGTAGAGGCTTGCCTTTGTGACATTACATTACATTGCATTTAGCTGACACTTTTATCCAAAGAAAATTACAATAAGTGCATTCGACCAAGAAGATACAAACTTGAAGAAAACAGAATCATATAAGTACATCAGGTTTCATAGAGCCAAAACATTTCAAGTGCTACTCAACTGGGTTTAGATAAGCCAGTCCTTTATTAGTATATACAGTGGGGCAAAAAAGTATTTAGTCAGCCACCAATTGTGCAAGTTCTCCCACTTAAAAAGATGAGAGAGGCCTGTAATTTTCATCCTAGGTACACTTCAACTATGAGAGGCAAAATGAGAAAAAAAAAAAAATCCAGAAAATCACATTGTCTGATTTTTAAAGAATTTATTTGCAAATTATGGTGGAAAATAAGTATTTGGTCAATAACAAACAAACAAGATTTCTGGCTCTCACAGACCTGTAACTTCTTCTTTAAGAGCCTCCTCTGTCCTCCACTTGTTAACTGTATTAATGGCACCTGTTTGATCTCGTTATCAGTATAAAAGACACCTGTCCACAACCTCAAACAGTCACACTCCAAACTCCACTATGGCCAAGACCAAAGAGCTGTCAAAGGACACCAGAAACAAAATTGTAGACCTGCACCAGGCTGGGAAAACTGAATCTGCAATAGGTAAGCAGCTTGGTGTGAAGAAATCAACTGTGGGAGCAATTATTAGAAAATGGAAGACATACAAGACCACTGATAATCTCCCTCGATCTGGGGCTCCATGCAAGATCTCACCCCGTGGGGTCAAAATGGTCACAAGAACGGTGAGCA